CCCCCTGCTAAAAACAATTCGAAAAGAATCCCTGTGACTACAAGGGGCACACACACACACACACTTGCGCTTTGCTTACGCGACTCACGTTTCAGCTTACGCGCCATGCAGGGGAGATGAAGCGCTTGTATGGAGCTTACGCAAACAAATACGGACAAACTTTCTCCACCACACCACGGCATGAGCTTACGCACTTGACGCGTTACATCTTTTTACTTGGCACCAACATCAATCATCACCTGTAAGAATAGGTTCCTCAAACAAACATGTCTCAACACATCTGATTGGTATTGATTGGTTTCCCAGTATCCCAATACTTGAAAATTGAAGCAGGCCCACACGCAAATACATGGAGAAGTCAAGCTTACGCACTTTGCTTACGCAAGCGCTACATCCAAAAAAATGCTTACGCAACCTTACGCAATTCAGGTTTTTGCTTACGCACAGTGTCCTTATGCACGAGTCCTTACTATATAAATATGAACACCTAGATTTTGAACAATGCTCAGCTCATGTGGTGTTTCTCTCACCGACTGGGAATCAAAGATGTCTCCACCTCGTTCCACGACCGAGTTGTCTCCACCTCCACCAGATTTTCCTTCAGCTTCGCGAACCTTGAATGCCTGCGGATGACTTGGAGAAAATATTCCAGTCAGCAAGTAGAGCAAAGGCATGCAGATGCAAATGCGTGCTTCTTCAAAGGATGTCTCCTTACGCCGCTTCCAAGAGAATGAAACTGTGAATGGAAAAACGCACGACCCAAAGCATACCTTTTCATGAAGGTCATGAACACCTGAGAAAGGTGAACCGGTCAATACGACCTGCGTTTGGCTCAAGGAACAACGTGAGCGGCTGTTTTTTGTCGGTCGCTCTTGAGGCTTTTTCCATAACCACAGGTTATGAGCCCAAAGAGCTTTTGAAGTCCACCCTCATTTGAGGTCGCTGGTCCCCATGAGCGGCTTGATGGCGCGGCGTCGGCGCTCCTCCCGTGAAGGAGGCAGGCTGAGGGATCCAGGAGATCATGGAGGGCAACTACGTGTGGGAGCAGCTGACGAGAGGCTAGACACCCTCCTCGAGGAGGCAAGGGCAACCTCAATGCCACCTGCT